GTGATGTTATCACCTAAGCAAAAGAAATGAGTCTGTTTCTTAGTGACTTGACAGTTTGAATATTGTTGGAATACTTCGTTTGAAAAACAAAGACAACTAAGCCTTTTGCGTTTTCGCTTATTCGGCCTCTTGAGTCGAATTTGGGTTAGTTCATGTTTTAACTGCTGTTATAGCAACGTTCTTCTGTTAACGTAGAAGTTTGGGGGAACTTTTGAGATTTCGTCTATGCTGAAAAGCCGCGACGCATCGTTTGGCTGTTTTATCCTCGTTGGGAATCACCAGCATTGTGCATCTCACGTAACTCCAGTAGGAGGGTCTCGAAACTGCGACCTCTCAGCCACGAGCGGCTGACTGACAGTCTGATCAAGTCACACTTGCGCAGGATACAACCTCACTCACCCTTCAATCACGCGATGAATGACTCCCCGAGTAACGACTTCTCACAAGAAGTTTTACTCCTCATTCTGCATTTATCTTCAAAGTTACCTGTCAACTAGGTTTTCAGCATTTAGTGGCTTCAAGTACAGGACATTAGACACAGTCTAATCATGACGCATACTGGAAGGGTGCTGTCCACAGTTCGCAACGAGCAGTGCGTTCGGTCTGTACTCACCCATATTTATCTATATCACGATTTCAATCGATCTGGCTACTGAACGAAAACATGGCTTACACTTTCACACAGTCAGGGTCATAAAGCTTCCGGTCAATTCGCGTACCGTTCACCTCTTGACGAGCATCTGGGTATGCACATTTTTACACTGGCTACTATGCTGTGTAGATCCGAGAACAAATATGCATGTTTCGGACGCATTGCACCTGACAGTGTCGGTACTACTCGACGACGGTTTGGAGCTTGCAAGATTGCTATTCTGTTGTGTTCAGGTGCGTTTCCATTAGGCACCGCATGGCATCATGGTGCCTCCACTTCTAGTTTAAGCCAAATTCAAGCAACGAAAGGCCTTCTGACTAATACAAAATACATTGTAGACTTTCATATTACACTTATTCAAGCGAAATACAACAAATCGAATCAGAGAAAAAAGTCACTTTAACTACGGTATGTTTTCTGTAATTCTTTCCTACCTGAATTCTTTCAAACAATGGGGCGTGTTCAAAAATATCTTGGGAAATTTTTCGTAGATGTATTTTTGCGCCGATGAAATCAATAGTCAAACAGCTTCCATGCGGTTTAGGCCTTTGAATTTTTTGGCCAGTCGCCTGTGTTCTGTTTGATCACCCGCTGTTGATCGAATTGTCCTTTAAATGGACTAATTGAGTTTTAGTCAATTAGGATCACATTTAGGCGAGAAAATCATGCTGATTGCACGAAACCTTTTGTTATTCTCATTCCTCTGGTCATTGCTTGACAGCAGTTCGATGCCAGATTTGGGAAGATTTTCTGAAAAGAAGTACTAAGAAAGAAGAAGCGTGCGCATTATTCCGGGGCGAGATGGCCCAAGTGGTTACAGCGCGAATTTACTGGCCGGAAGGTCCGAGGTTCGAACCCGACCTCCGTGGCTTGACTTATCTTGTCTTGGCTCGGGCAACCTGACAGTATCCCAGCTCTCGTGCTCCCTTAAGAAACTGAGTCCTTCGGGTGGCATGACAGTTTGGCACCTAAAGGGTGTTGTCACGCCTGATGACAAACGGCAGTCCAGAATTCGGAAAACATCCAGGACAAAAACAAATGATCTACGTCAATGGGTTACTGGAAAGAAAATGCCAAAATATTTTGTTGTTAGTTGAGTTAAACGGTTGCGAACCAAACAAGCTTTCTGAATTGAGCAATGTTCACTTTCCTAAATCGAACGAGACTCATTAAATGAGAGAACCAGAGGTTGCTAATCGAAAGATCGGTTTCACATGCGATGCGAACCAAACAAGCTTTCTGAATTGAGCGATGTTCGCTTTCCTGAATCGAACGAGACTCATTAAATGAGAGAAACAGAGGTTGTTAATCGAAAGATCGGTTTCACATGCGCCCCTTCATAATCATCACACTCATTAAATGAGAGAAACAGAGGTTGTTAATCGAAAGATCGGTTTCACATGCGCCCCTTCACAAATTAATCATCACTCAAGATAGGTGAAACATCAAACAATAAATCTTATTATGTTGACATTTTGATTTTCAACTAAAATGCAGCTAAACCTAGTGTTATATCTGCTGATTCGCCAATCTGTTGTATCTGGCTTCTGACCCGCTCCAGTGTCTAATGCCGAAAAAAAGACTCGCAGAAGGGGACAAAACAGGTATATTCCGAACAAGGGAGTGCGAGAGCGTTAGTGCGTACGAGTGCGAAAGTACAACGATCTCAGAGTATTTATTGGAGAAACACTGACTAAACTTTGTCCAACGCTGATTCACGCGGTATGGTCTTGGTTCGAGGCTGCGAAGTGTTGCACATTGCGGAGGCGTTGTCTGACCTTGATCAACGCTGACCCTCGCTTTGTCTTAGTTTGATACAAGGTCGTGAAGCGCTGCATATTGAGGGGGCGTTTGTCTGACCTTGATCAACGCTGACCCTCACTCTGTCTTAGTTTGATACAAGGTCGTGAAGCGCTGCATATTGAGGGGGCGTTGTCTATATGGTCAGCATCTAGCGGAGCTGAAACCTCCCTACCACTGTGGAGATGCAAACCGCCGCAGCTTTTTGAAATTCTCGGTCTTCAGAACACACCTTGTGCTTTCGTGAATAAAACTACTTACAAGTTTGCTGAAAATTCCTCGACCACCTATCACCACTTTCATCATTTCTATTCGACTTCATCAGGTAGGCGTAGTCCCCGAGTTCGACTCAAAACCAAATCATGCGAAATTCGACAAATTAACTTATTTGCACCTCAGTTTGGTTTTTAAAGGAAACTGAATATGCTGCAAGAAGCCACCTTACGTTTCACCTGATACGAAATTCAAGATATCGCTGTACATTTTCTTGAATGGAGTTCCTCACAAGGCTGACGAAAACTCTTCGGCAACCAACGACCTGTTTTGTTCTTCTTGAGGCTCATCAAGCAGGCGCACTCCCCGAGTTTTCATCAAATTTGTGTTCTGCCAACTGAAACATGAGATGGTTTTTGTGCACCATATTCGGTTGGAAAACGTTTGGCCAACAGTCTCGGACCTCCCAATACGGACCATTCTGAATTTACTGGGAGGCTAAATTAGAGGATACGAACTCGGCTTCGGTTTCGAGTTGAGCTACCATATGAAGATAAAATTGTTCCGCCTGATAGTAGTAGCTTTGGGTCTCGAGCTGACTTGCACCTGCATGACACACCTAAACGATGATATTCCTGGAGAGAGTTCATTAGTTAAGTATGCCTCGGGGGACGTCCTATGAGTGGTCTCTCTCGACTGTAGTGTTTCTGTAGGGCACCTATTTTTTCCTGAAACAAACCACCGGATTCGATGCCAGTAAAGGTACACATACCAGCCAATCCTATTTCTAGGGTGTGCTGCTCAAGTAAATTTCCTTCGGGTTTTGATGCTTCCTTTGCCCCCTGGTCAAGTCACTTTTTGACCAATTCCAGCTGGCTTTTGCAGAGTAGTTGGTCCTCAATGGAATTATCCCGACTTTTATCATGGCGACCAAGTGGATGAACGACCTGTTTCACACGTTCATTACATTGAGGGTGTCAAAGCGATAATACTGTATTCTCCTGCGTTTTATTGCATCACAATCGACAACGGATGTACCCGCGTTCTTATCTGCTCTTTCGGCGGATAGTGTCCATATGGAGGCTATTTTGGAATGCGATCAAACGTCACGTATTCCACTTAGTCAACTCAAAGTAGCTGGATGTGAATTGAAATGCGAGTTTTTGTCTGATAAAGAAACTGATGAGTATTCGAGACCAGGTCTGGTGGTTTTTGTTCAGGGGCTGATTAGGTTTTTTCACCGAAATATGAGGAACAAAGAACCAGCCATGAGTTTCCTAAAGAACTGCACTTTCACACACGAAACGACTTTCACTGTCCAAATTTCGCAGCTTCGAAATTCCTGTTTTCTCACACACTGTCGCAATGCAGTGACCATCCAGATTGCGCCTGTCCTCATTACAGAAATGCAGTGACCATCCAGATTGCGCCTGTCCAGATTATTCAAGTTCCTACAAAGCTTTTGCCTCAAACGTGGAACGTGACCCAGTAATAAAATCGCCCATTGCTTACGAACCATTTGTGTCATTTCGTCACTTTGGCTAGACGAAACCATCATCAGTGGGAGATGCGGTTGAGATTGACTTGCGTCTCTCGTTTGGAAAACTGGTGTGCGAATGAAACCGTACGGTTCTTTTCCTGGTCCTCTATGACTTTCTCCAACCTGATAGATCATTTCTGAGATAATTTGGTTTGCTAACCGTCGCGAACTTCTCAAATCGAGACCAGTCTAGACTGAAATAAGTGTTACTTTACGACTTGTGGGTTCACATTTACAGATGCAAGAAATTACTGCTAGTGCCTGTTGATTGCCTGGCCGGACTAATCCAGACAATTATCATTCATAACAATAAAGTCACTATTCGGAAGCAAAGACGAACCTAAGAGACTTCAAGTGTCACTGGGAACGACAGATCTGTTAGTTTAGTGATTTGATCTCAAGCTAAGTAGAGTTGTTGAGGGCAATCTTCCCGCCTCTCTTTGGACTCGCAATGTACGACTCGCATCAACTAATTTGTACGCAACTAACGAAACATTTCTCAACAGGAGAGTCAAACAAATCTCTGGTTTATAATAGGCTCTAACCAGATGTGTTGCACAAAGACAGTCTCATGTTTTAGCTAGTACGAAATTCGAGCTATAACACGTCACTCGAAGGCTGTTGAAAACTGGCATTCAAGTGGAACGTAAGGTTGATGGAACCTTTGTGTCTACGTAACCAACTGCATGAAGGACGAAGGTCGTATTGGTCTCTTGAATGGTACTCATCAATCTTATTAGTAGTGTGTTTCGTCAGGAAAATATGCTTCGATACGGACTGAATCAAGAAGCAGACTATGTGCAGTACATTCATGTGAGGAATATTATCAACGAAGAATTTAGTTGGAGTCGCTTGCAGATTAGTGAATTTAAAGTTCTGTTTTGATTTTGTTTTTGTCTTCCAGTCGAGAGGTACAAGCAGTATAAAGCTGGGTCACAAAACGCACAATACATACATCACGGAGCTGTTGCTCGGCTAAACCACTTGCTTGTTGCTAAAAGCAATAAAGCCAACATTTTAGGTAACCATACTCCGCCAAAGATTTCTGTGGTATCCGTCTGTATGTTGTCCGCAGCTCTACAATGCTTCCCGGCCTCCCAGTACCGATTATATTCACTTTATCAGGAAGGTCAGATTCCTGAAAGTAACCTCAGAACGCCCGAACCCTACTGCTCCACCAAAATCTCAACAGGAACGCCAGCAAGCATCCAGGCCAGTCAATCATTCAATCAATTCAGCAAAAGCTGATGAGTGTTCATGCACGCCACAGAAGCACGACCGAATGTGATCACCGTTCAGGCATCTCATAGAGACACGATCGATGTTGATGGGTGTTCACTAACGCCCATCAGACAGCTTGGATCAATGTCAGAAAGTCCCCTTTAAATAGCATGTGGCCGTCGTAACTTTTGCTCTCGCACGCGCACGCACTCACGCTCTCGCACTCGTTTGTTCGGTTGTGTTCCCTTCGGTGAGTCTTTCTCCAGGCACTGGGCACTGGAGCGGGTCAGCAGTAGATACCACAGATTGGCAAGTCAGCAGATATAACACACTTACAGAACGAACTGTGAATTGATTTAAACAAGCACTAACAACGAGTCGACTAGTTCTGATGGCGTGTTTCTTGGTTTCAAAGAACGACTACAAAAGTTTCCGTATCTTAATGCCACCTCTTGGTCGCGCTCCTGAAGATCTACTTGTAGTCACCAGTCCACCGTAGCAGAATCTCCTTCTTGGGAAGCTTTCTTTTGTGAAATTCAATCTTGTCCAAAGTTCTGCAGAATCGAATGCTTAGTAGATAAAATCTTCACTGGGCCCATGTGGCGATACGTGTCGGTTTAACCACAAAGCCAAGAGGACACATCATTGGCACATGAAATTTTGAGGGTCCTGCACAGCACACTCAAACCTGTTCTCAATGGTACTATAGAGTTTAAGAATGCCAGTATTTCATCTGACTTCTTACAACTGAAACAATCAGTCTTATAGGAGTAGTTTACACTGGCGACTGAACAGTAGTCACAAACATCTACTTGTAGTCACCAGTCCACCGTAGCAGAATCTCCTTCTTGGGAAGCTTTCTTTTGTGAAATTCAATCTTGTCCAAAGTTCTGCAGAATCGAATGCTTAGTAGATAAAATCTTCACTGGGCCCCTTGTGGCGATACGTGTCGGTTTAACCACAAAGCCAAGAGGACACATCATTGGCACATGAAATTTTGAGGGTCCTGCACAGCACACTCAAACCTGTTCTCAATGGTACTATAGAGTTTAAGAATGCCAGTATTTCATTTGACTTCTTACAACTGAAACAATCAGTCTTATAGGAGTAGTTTACACTGGCGACTGAACAGTAGTCACAAACACGCCTCCGATAGATCACTTATCACGTTTTTCATATTTTTGCCAGGCTCTTTACACCCGGATGCCTCAAGCATTAGAATGAAATGTGGCAAGGATATCACTTTTGACAGGGCCTGTTCGTCAACTTCTATGCTAGGGCCGGTCACCGACCATGTGCTCCAGTTTGGATGCCACCAGGTGTTCCAAGATCGCGATGAGTCCCATAGCGTCCTCTTCGTTCCAGTGGGATTCTTTCAATGCAACTGGAGAGTTGAGCTAACCTTCGTCAGTCCTGATCACACACAGTGTATGTATTTTAAAGCAGGATGCTTCATTTTTTATCAGACAATTAGCCCATTCACATGTTCCCTTTCAGTATTCAAATCATTCACTCTCGACAGCATCTCACCCGCAATTTTGTACAGCTCACTCGCGGTTTCTATTGAGCACCAAAATCTGATTTCATTGCCCCGGATGTTGTGCTAGAATCCCGTCCGGCCACCCAAAACTGTTCCCTACTTTTCTTGTGGGAAGCTTTTGTTGAGGTTCCCGATACGGAACTTCGAGTGACGCGTAGGTTGGACAGTCCCGAATATCAAAAGGAAGAGTTGGGTTCGAAATTCTACGGTACGATTTACAAAAGTGTAAGGAGATTTATACGACAAACCTCAACTGCCCACGATTGTCTCGTCTGTCACTGACCGGCACAGTGCCGTGTCAACGTCCGCACACCAAACAACGGCGAGCGGAATGATGGCTCAGTAGTGTGGGTTGCGGTCGCCCTTCCGACAACAGTCTCGTGATCCTCATTGGCCGTGCGATCGCTCGGAACTCATGAGAAAACTAGTCAAGGAGGTTCAGCAAACAGAACACGAACGCGCATGAGCAAGTAGGTCAACTGCGCACATTCACACACAGACGCACATGTTGTTGGACGGGACCGTCTCTACGGCAAGGTGAGTGGTGGGTACGGACAAGCAAAACAACTGGAGTCACAAGTAGGCGCTCAGTATTCGCACAATTGAATTGAATTTCCGAAAGCTACGTGTCCCTGATGGACCAAGGCAATCAGGCAACTAAGTTCAGAGTACCAGTCCAAACTTTGGAGCCCTATTTAGGCATCCCAGGGGCTCAGCGATGCTGGGAAATTATTGCACCATACATTTCCACCAGAGGTATGATTGCTTCAGTGGATAATGAAATTTGGTGAGCCGCGAAAATATGAAAGTGCATTAGGATGGGCTTTTGGTTTGAACAACAAAATACATTTTGGCGCAAAAAAGTTGTACTCCACTCGGGGAGGTTTTGCAGTTAAGAACATTGTGCAGCTAATGGGCCCCTCAGAAGTACATAGGCGGAGCAAGCAAATGAATGGGGGAATTATAATGAGGTCATGTTGGATTCAACAGCACGTGTAGCTGAAAAAAATAACGTTTGTGAAACTAGACCACGTTTAAACGAAGCTGTGACCATAAATGTGTCGAACTATTGGCAGCTTAGGGTGTTTGCTTGCTAAGGTGGCCGTTAGTCTGTTCACTGAGCTTGGCAGTTCCTAGTCGAGGAGACATTGTCAGTGCGGTCGTACCCTCTGACGACAGTCTCATGATCCTCATTGGCCGTGAGATCACACGGGACTCACAAGCCAAGACAGCAAAATACACTCATTTGCAAACAAATATGGTTTTGCGAGAGACCCACCTGAACCACCCAGCAGCAAAAGGGACACGAACGCGCATGGGTTAGTAGGTCGGCTGCGCACATTCACACACAGACGCGCATGCCAACACACAGTTATCGGATGGGATGGTCTTTGCGGCAAGGTGAGTGGCGGGCACGGACAAGAAAAACAAGTGGAGAGTCAAAAGTCCATAGGTGAAGTAAGAAAGTGAATGAGGGAATTATCGTGAGGTCAAATTAGATTCAAAACCCATTCCAATATACGTAATGCCCTACTCATAATGTTGCTGAAAATTCGTCGACAGCCCACGACCGGTTTCGTCCAAAGTGGGGCTCATCAGGTAGACGCAGTCATCGAGTTTCCGTCAACCTTATGTTCTACTTGGAACCAAATTCCACGAAACTGGCGAACTACACTCATTTGCAAACAAATTTGGTTTCGCGAGAGACTCATCTGGAACCTCTGGGTTTTGATGTTTCAAGGTAACTGAATGCGCTGCACCAGGCCGCCTCATGTTTCAGCCGCTACGATATTCGAGATATCGCGATACATGTATAGTTGTAATGCACTACTCATATTTTCCATATGTTACTTCGCGACTTTCCTCATAGTCTTTACTCTGAACCACGAAGCTGTCTTCTGAGGCACCGTTTAGGGCACCTTGACGCACTTTCGTTCTCAAGGACCTATGCCCTATGGTAATCTACTACACTGGGCTGAAGACTTTGATCTTGTTTCTTAGGGCGAGTAGCTGGTGGAATTTTATGCACATTGCTGATAATCGCATATCCGAAAATTCGGAACCGCTGGGCAACGTGGGAAGACCTCTTGTATCATGTACCACTGAAAACTGCTCAGTGAGTATTTCTCACCACTAACCTGTTGTTGGTCTGTGATACCATTCGTGTCTGACCGGATACCGTCTTCTTTCAAACGAAATTGACATTTCTAAGGTTAGTCTCAAAAAATCTGCAGTTCTATGGTTAGCTCTGAAGATTTATCGTTTTTTCTTGGATGACTGATTCATCAACACTATCAGCGGGAATGAAGTTCTTTCGTGCGGTGAATTCCGCACGTATTTCAAACATATACACTGAATACGTTTGATAAATGATGACAAAAATTCGGATGTGTATTCAGAGAACTGTGAATATAACTCACGATTCAAGCTAGCGGGGGATTCACTGGTTCTTATCCGGTTTGTGGACAGACGATAGGAACACTACTCTGTCTAAAATAAGTCTACTTCACTCACCCATGAGGTTTTTTTTAAATAACCTGTCAAATGCAGATAATTTTCAGTGAGAGTAAAAAACGCCGAATAGAATCATCAGATAACTATTCTGACAAAAACTGGGTTGTTTTGATGGGTACATCGATTCCAGTCAACTCGAATAAATCACGAGATTTCAGACTGGATCGATGAAGTGCCAGCTGTGTATTTAAATCACTTCAGACCTCGTGCCGGAACTCCTGAACACTGTTCATGTTGTACGATTAAAACCCAGCGGTTGAAAGAGCACCAATTATAGAGACGTCAGCCCCTGTCAATGCTGAACGTACAATCCGCTGTGCGTTTCATACTGCTAGACTCTCAGTCTGTTGGTGTTAATTTTGTGAGTTTCTGATGGAACAACTTTTCCAGAACAGATTCTTCTTCGTACACGAAGTGACCAGTGAAAATGTGTCTGAATTTTACTCAGGAATCCGCAGGAAACAAGCTAATTTCTCTAGAGTGAAGCATTCATTCGAAGTTAAGTTAACGAGAGTCCGAAGTCAAACCCTCACTTGGAGTAGTGTACAAACGTATGTGCTGAACAGGGGCCATCCCTGGTTTTTGTAGGAATATTATTCAAGATGCAAAAGTTGGATTCATCGCTCTCATAAGTAGTATACTTGAACGGGAATGATTTTGATAACTTGAATATCAGCCCAACAGCCTACTTAATTAAGAAATATCATCAGCGTGTTAACATCGTCCTAATCAGCAAAGGACTGTTCAGATTCGTGAACTTCCAGTATGAAAAGGATGACAGGGTGGATAAGGTCGTATACTGCCATTTCGGCGATTTCGACGAATTCGAATCCACACATGTGTCTCTCTCAGTTGGCCACTGGCCCCCAATACCATGTAAGGAAGAACGATTCAGAAAGAAGGAGAAAGAACTTCGAAATAAGATCTACAGGATTTCGGAGGAATGGGCCTTCAGTAGTAGTTTGTCGGAAGGTTTCATTTGCTTTATGAACGGCGTTACTACATACTGTGCGGGACAAAATTAAACGCATGTCGTATACTCTCTAATTTAGCTCGAGTTAGTCAGGAATTAATGCTCTACTCAATGGCCGGAAGGTCCATGGTTCGAACCTGACCCCGGACTCTCCACTGCCTCTGTTTACGCTTGGGCAACCCAACAGTACCTCACCCTTCGTGTCTCCTTCCGGTGGCAAGCCACCTAGATACCGAAAGTGGGTTACAGCTGAATTTTTGTTACTTTATCATTTATAATTGTTACGTGGTTATCAAGGACTATACATGATGTTTTCTGGCTCTTATTCTCAGCACGGTCCTTGCCAGGTTAGCGTTGAGCCATGGTGTTCTAGGCATTTCATTGAATCAAGGCCTTACTGATGACTTATCAACTGATGACTAGAAAGATAGAAGTCGGAATACCAAGACGCAAATACTGATCCCCTATCGATCCTCTGCTGCGCAATATGGGAGATTGTTCTATTCTTGCACTTTACTTCTTCGTTTGGCTCTCCTTGGAACTGACAACCACAGCTCGAATGGCCTCAGGGCCTATGACACTCAACAACTGGAAGTCCTTCCCCAAAGTTAGAGCAAACTTATCGGCACGTCAGTGCACCTGAAACTATTGCAGTAAAAGTTTTATTACCATATATTGGTCTGAGAGTAACTAAATATCCTAGATGGGCCTGGATTGAGTTCATGTTCTATCCAGTTGATGGAACACCAAGCTACTGGTTCCGTTCTCCCGACTTCTTCATGTGGATCCCCCTTCCGGAATGCTGGACAGTGTCAGCTCTTCTACCATCCCTCTTTCTTCCCACGAGGTATGTCAGAGGGTTATGTATAGCCGTTGTCAGCTGATTCATTTGCACCGGCGTATTCTGTACCACATTCCAGTGGGTCAATATCTGAGTTTTTTCGGATGATGACATCTTCAGTCCAAGCCAGCTGCTCTTAGCTAAGCGTGCATGATGAGCCTCAACAACACGTCACAGATGGCATCCAAATGTGGCTGGACGAGCGCGTTTGACGTTGTGTAAACTCGACTGGTTCTGACTCACTCTTCCTTGTCGGATAGTGACCTAAACATCAGCCCACATATGGGATCTGGGACTACCTACACAGACAGTTATATCATCACTCCGTATTTGAGTCAACCGTGTTGAAAGAAGGCCGAAATGATTCAGAGGAAACCCGTACAAACCTGTGGGACTTTTCTAGATGTTTCTTTAATCGGGCTCAAATGCTTTCTGTCCAGAAAACATGAAATCCCATGCTAAGATTGCGCGCATCACACAGTGAACGGAAAGATCCTCCTAGTCGATGAACCGATCAAGTCTGACGTCAACTACTGGGGCAGAAAGAGGCAGAATGCGGACAGTCCTCGAACCCAACAGATTAGCTCACACCCACTAGTGAGAAGAATGACAGTGGTAGAGGCGTTGTTCATTATCGGATATGAACTAATCTGTTACAAGTCAACAGACACGGAAGTAAATAGCACATCTGCACAGAGTTTCTAAAAACTGAACATTATCAAGCGTTTTCTTGAATTTTCTCCAGAATTCTTTGAACATTAGGGGCTCCATATTTTTCAAACCACCCTTTGCCTTCCATCAGATGAGGAGAAGGTGCTTGTACATCAGACCAGATACTACTCTCATGCTTCATCAGTAGTGTGAAACCTCACTCAAGGTGAATTTCAAGTGCCTAGTCACATGATATTCAGGTAGACGGTTTCACTGTTAAGCACAGCATCTGGAATCATTAGAAACAACTGTAGAATGTAAGATCAGTGTGAGGACGGGCTCTGGTGAATCGGTAGAGTTTGAATGGCGAGTAGTGGGATCGGACTATGACCATATTCGCAATTAAAGATGATCACAAGCAATCAGCAGAGGGCCTCACGTTGGGGTACTGGGAAGGGTTGAAGATGGGCAGATTGCATGGTCGCGACAGTGGAATTTGTTTCACATGTTCCTCACGGGGAGCCATGTTGTGCCAAGTGAAAATTCTATCCTTGGGTAACCCGAAAACGATTGGTCCTGCCAACGGAATGATAACATTTGTAACTTTTCAGCACCCTGGCGCACGGCGGGGTTTTGAAGCATCTGCCACTCGGTAACTAAATCCGTTTCGGAGAGGTGTCAACGTGACGGAACTTTTTTTTACATAAAACACCTCACAAACGGGACGATTTAATAAAAACCAAACCGGACCGCGCCAAAAATGGGACAGTTTGTCCCTTCTCCCCCCCCCCTCCGAAACCTGCTCAGATATGATCAGACTCGTCAGATCAACATGACAACCACTTTACCTCATGCAGTACATTTATGGAGCGAATAACACCGACTTAAGATAACACCGGAACCTGAACAAGTTCAACCGGATCGTCCCTAACTTGGGTGGACCAGGAGTGAGTCCTTGTCAGAACATAGTGGCATTGTTCTTGAAGAACTCGGTCAGCTAATTTCTGACCGGAAGTGCCACATGAATCTCCAGCGGGATAGCTGACGTCAACAGAAGAAGGCAAAATGGCGGGGAATGATACCCTGACATCTCCGCATGCTCACTGTGACGAGGGAAAGGTTTCGAAAAAAAAAAGTTTGTAAGAGCCAACACTATACCTTGACATCTCCGCATGCTCACTGTGACGAGAGAAAGGTTTCGAAAAAAAAAACAAGTTTGTAAGAGTCCAACACTAAGCCTCCGGGATGGCTGGTCTGGGAAGGCTTTAATTTCCACCTGCCAAAGACCGTACTTTTTTCGCACTGGGGAGAATTAAACCTGCTCCGATTTTCAAGACTGACAATCATCTGAGCGCGGGATAACTTGTTCGGATGTGTTGTGCCTCTGTGGTTGTCGCGGTTGAGGTATCACATGAAATAGATGTGTTGTAGACAGCGGTCCAGTCCACCTAATGCCGAAGAGCATAGGCTTGTTTCACTAGCTACATTCCTTCTCTGGATGGACTGGAAACTAGAAACCAGGTCAGTAATGCTCCGCATCTTCAGATTGGACGATTGGTCATTGGTCGAAGAAGATCCACGTGAGGAGTGATCATGGAGGATGGACACGTGGATCAAGATAAATTGAAAACTGTTCAGCGTATCACTGTCCTGCAGAAGTCAGTCTATACATCTGCTTTGTATTGGGAGGACATGGGTCGGACAAATCTACGCACGAAGTTTCGCTCTTGGCACCGGCTTTGTTGTTGCTTATCCATCCAAGTGTTTTCACATGAAATCAGATCTGTAACACTGTGGTTGTTTCGGTAACTACTGCCCTTAAGACCCGGCGGCTTTCCATTGCGTTTGTGTAAAATAAACCTCAAAAATATGGGAAGAGACTTTGAATGGAGGTTAATAACTCCGCGAGATAGGTGCTCGAAACTCGGCCAGATTTCGAATCCATTGAAAACCTCGAACGGCGTTGTCTACCGCTTATTGAGGTGTGTGTATGTGAAAAAGACCTCTTAACCATCGACAGTCACGTCAAACGAGTGCTTCTAATTAGATGAAACTAGACAGTGATTAATACTCAGTACCGGACTCAATCCAACGCACTCTTTGAATCAAAATGACAAAATTTTGGAATTTTGAAAAAAAAACTAAAAAAATAATGTTCACGTGTGCGTCTCGTGATGGTCAAATTTACTGCATGATAGTAAAATTGCATGTTTGTAGAAACCCTCGAGAAAGGTCGGATTACAACGACCCATTCGGCTACGCTACATTTTTACTTTATAATCTTAAAAAATCCTTATTTGTAGAAGGTGTGTACGCTTCTAACGATGTCCCTCTATTGTATTGACCCACCAACACACCTGCCAGACCTTCCCATTCAGGGAGCGCTTCAGACGTCAGAAACCTACCGGATGTTTCTCGAATAGTTGCCGCTGGTTAAGTAAATTTTTAGAATTTGTATGCACACTACTCACCTTTGAACAGTCCTTCATTCCCGACGCAATTAGGCCGGTTGGTTTTTGTTGGAGCTCCTTAGCCTGGCTATGCTTAGATACAAATCCCAGACATATGAAACGCGACAAGTGCTCATGGACACAGCTAACTCATTCAATTGAGAATTTATCACGTAAGTGAAGCAAATCTGTGCTTAGAATCCGAGAAGCACTGGACAGCCGTCTCATCCCTATTGGAAATAGTCAGCAGTGCGCATCTCACGAAACTCCAGTAGGCTTGAACCCACTTAGAATCCGAGAAGCACTGGACAGCCGTCTCATCCCTATTGGAAATAGTCAGCAGTGCGCATCTCACGAAACTCCAGTAGGAGGTCTTGAACCCACGATCTCCCGGCTTATAGTTTGAACACTAAACCGTTCGACTAGCTGATCAGCATTGTGATTGACTATTACTTAGACGGAGTATAACGTCATTCATCCTTCAACCACATGATCCACGTCATATGACCAACTGTCTCCTGGCTCTTTGCGTAACTTCCCAGATGAAGTTTTCACTCTTCTTCCTTTGAGCTACTTGTGGTTTTTTGATAGTACGAGGAGAGTTGCGAATAAACAGCCGAGATTCCATCCTGCAAGCGAAGTCAATCTATGTTGAAAATTCAAGAAGCCCTGTACAGCTGTTTCATTCTTATTGCGAACCATCGGCATTATGCATCCTACGAAAATCCCAGGTGTCTCGAACCCATGACCAGTTTGGCATTAAACTGCTCGGCCACAAGCGATTCACACACACACACACACACACACACACACACACACACACACACACACACACACACACACACACACACACACACACACACACACACACACACACACACACACACACACACACACACACACACACACACACACACACACACACACACACACACACACACACACACACACACACACACACACACACACACACACACACACACACACACACACACACACACACACACACACACACACACACACACACACACACACACACACACACACACACACACACACACACACACACACACACACACACACACACACACACACACACACACACACACACACACACACGAGTACACACAGTGGTGAGCGCAGTCAAAAGACATGGTTGATCCCGAGGCGCTGCTGCTATTTTCGCGATCGGGGTTGGTTTCTCAATCTCCCGGATCAATGTGCTTTAATCGATTATTCACTTTGAGTGCTGGTGGTAGATTTCGTTGGTCTTTGTGGGTTTG